GTGTGTGTGTGTGTGTGTGTGTTGCTGTTTTTAATTTGTACCTGTGGAGGGCAGTGTTGCTCCAAATATTGACAATTCACCGACAAGTCGTATTAAAATAATTGTTATTGTATTATTGTTATTGATTGTGATGTGTTGCAGCATCATAATTTAGCTAAGGAAAATCAAACAAGGTAAATCTGTTTTATTAAAAATCTTGAACAGAAAAGTTAAAAATCCTCACATCAATAAACGAAGAGTTTGAAAGAAACAAGATTTTGTATTTATCTGAGAATATYTGAACATATAATGGCCAATTTTTGCTGTATTGATGCAGATTTTGCACTTGAGGAAGSTTAACTCCAGTCAAAGTCATTTTTAGACTTGAGCTGTTCTTTTATTAGAGAAGTTGGTGAGTAAATGTGGGATTGTGTGCACCCCTGTGGTCCCTATTCATGTCCCCTTAGTCACAATGAACAGGTGTAKTTTTACAAAAGACTCGCTCAAGGCAATCAGGCTCAGTCATGAATCCATCTGACCTAACCTGGTTTTTATCTGAGCCAAGCTACAGCCTGAAGTCACTTTAAGTGCTTTCATTWGTTCATCTACATTGTTTGCTGTTGTGAGTAATGAAGCTGTGAATAGCACTGATTTCTTCTTAGGAAAGCTATTTGTGGCATAACGTCATGTGTTGTTTTCACCTCTTACAGATCAGCTGTTCCACGTGTTGGCCATGCACATGCGTCTTTACAGCATTGATTCAGCCTACAACCCATGGACAAAGTTGACTCAGGCTGCGAAAAATAGGGAGATGGAGTGAGTGATGTTAATTTTAAGTACCTTTGCTAACAGTGAGTCTATAAATCTGTGCATACATCATTTGTAAATGTCCACATTATTGTGTCTTCCACACTATTTTCCCCTCACATAAACACACAATCAGGGTGCCACTTTTTTTCTCTCTCTCTCTAAACGCCACTATTTCCTCCTGCCCCCAACAGCTTTTTCTCAACACAAAGAGAAGCTAAAAACAGTAAAAGGGACCATGCGTGGTTCCCATAGATACCAGTAATTGCTGCATCTGGCAAATTACCGGGCACTCCACGGAGAGCAAAATGAGCCTGTCAGATTCACTGTACTGAGAACAACAGTTCCCCCACCAAAACCAGCACGATGTCTTGGCTCCCAGCTCTCCATCTCGCTTCAACAGAAATCTGTATTTTACAAAAGACTACCAAAAAAAAAAAATTCAGCCTTCAAGCATTTTGGCTTCTTTTCTTGAAGTAATTTTCTTGGAAAACTACCGTATTCCAAAATGTCCTACATAAAGGATGTTTGGGGGGAAAAGATCTTTTAGGCATCTAACAAAGAAGGACCTAACCTTGTTAGGTTTCAGTTATTTCTACACCTGTTAGCATTAAAGCGCTCGCAGCCACATTATTCTCATTGGACCTATTTGCTGTTTTAAAAATACTTTGAGTTTCAGCAGGGAGCAGTGTCAGGAACGCCTTGAGGCAGTCGACCTGATGTAGTCTAGTTAAATAGGACAACGAGAGATGTTTCTACATGTATGCAAAACACTGCTCTGACCCTCGTTTGTTTTATCTAAAAATCTAAAGAAGAATCCAGCAGCATTTTTCACAGAGCAGCTATAAAAGGCATGCATGGTTGAAAGCTCTGTCCTTTAAGCTTTCCTTCCAGTGCACAGACGAATTAAGTGCTGAGTGGTTTTGTAATGGAAGGTATTATTCTTTAAGTGCAGTTCCTCTTGTTCAGAACCCCCCAAAGCCTTTCAAGGGTAGATGGAGATCAGGACATCAACTGAACAAAATGACATGTAAATGGAGACGGTACACAGTATGAATACGTTACCAGGAAAGCATTAAGGATTTTAGTTAGAGGATACAAGAAACGGGTCCTTTCAAACTGTGTTTGTTCACAAAATTAATTTAATAAAACATTTCAAAACCTTTGCTCTCAGACATTTAAAGACCTTTTTCATGTGTTTTGCATAACAGCTGATTTTGAGTGTGGAAGATGCTCCAGCAGCTTACATCTAGCTTTATTATTATTATTATTATTATTATTATTATTATTATTATTATTATTATTATTATCATCAGACCTTTTTAAAAAATTGTCAAGCTACACTGCTTTTATTATTTGAACCATATATTTCTTGTTCTCTTGTTTTTACTGGCACAATCAGTTGCACAAAGCCATAGTAATGCTTTAGAAAATGAGAAAAAAGTAAGATGCATCCAATTACAGAACAAAGCAATAAATCTGAGAAATCAATGGCTGTTTATGGTTTACCAGATATATTATAAAAGATTAATAAATACATTCATTTCTCAGAGCAACTTTTCTTAATTGGTGTCCTTTAGATATATTTTTTATTTGAGTCTATATGTTGGTGCAATACAGATATGCACAGGAAACTGAGAAAAGGAAGTTCACAGTAAATTTAATCAACCACTTACCCCAAAACACATCCAAATTTGACATTTATGTCACAACTCCAATCATTGTCTACCAAATTGGCAAATTGAGTTAATTTTTGGCTAATCATAGAAACAGTTATCTGCATGAACTTTGTAGCTTATATTAAMTTATATTCGTTTGTTGCATTTTCTGTGATGGACTTGCAACCTGTCCAGAATGTACCCAGCCCCCCGCACAGTGACCCCCGTACCTGAAAGGAAGAAGTGGGTTAAGATGATGGATGGGTTATTGTATTTTTGTCATCAGCATAACTATTTGACTTTATGTTCTATGCTTTTTTTTTTTCAGTGGCTTTGACGAAGAGCGACCCGAGGTCCCCATGCTGTTTCGAGATGTCCCATCTGTCCTCATTATCTTTGTTCTAACTATGCCTCAACCTCTGCGCAAAGGTAAAGTTACCTTTTCGGCATCATGGCACCACAAGAGCAGGGTCCATCTCTGGAAGCAGCTCCATTATCTGCTCTAATCCAGGCTGAGTGCTAGCAAGAAGCATTTCACATCTCTTATCTGTGCTCTTGTTGCTGTATTGGCTTTGAGGCTCATGAAAGCACGACCTCTATGATAGGAGGGCTTCTCCCTCTTCTTGTATCCTCCATTTCTAGCTTGTCAGATGCTCATCGACAAAGCCATTCAGTGTAAAAATGGTTGGACCACCTCAAAAACTGTCTGGAAGATCATCCTGGTGATAGAATCAGTGATGGCAACAGTGGGGATTTTTAAACCATGGGTAGTGTTGATTTTAGTAGTATTTCCTTGTGCTTTTATTAATAATATTTTAAAGTTAAGCCTAGAAGAGTTTAAAATATTCACTGACGGTACCTATGCTTAACACAGGAACCAATAATGTCTACATAATTTTTTTTCTTCAGCTAGCATTTTAGAAGCAAAAAAAAAATAGAAATTCAAACCATCTCATGTTTTTGCTGTCGCTCTGTGTTATTTTGTAGAACATTTTACCTGTGTGGTCAAGATGTTGTACAACCTGCAGTTCACTCAGGCTTTGGCTGCAATTTCAACCAAGCTCAGCTCTGAGGAGAGACAGGCCTGGCTCACTTCTGGAGCACTTCAGAAGGTAAAAATAAAATCACCTAACATTAGCTTGAAACTGCACATCCAGATCTGTTCATGTTAATAATTTTTACTTTATTTTTGACAAGATTTTACTTCTTTAGTAGCAATTTGCTAAGCTTCTTGAGCTTAACATCTCTTTTTATACCAGTGAAATATGCTGATTTCTTCAATAGAAAAGGTCTACACCAGTGAAAATTATTACATATTGTTGTTGAGTTATATTAAACC